CAGAGACAATAAGATTGGCAAAGGATAGAGCAGGGTTTAAGGCTATTGTACACAGAGTTGCTGTGAGTCACTGGCGACTCGATGGCACATAACAACAACAACAATTATTGTATGACAATAATCTGGAACGAGATTAGGTATTCTATGTGTGACAACCTGGAATGAGAGGTACACTGCAAAGTGGACTGGGGAGAAGCTAGGGAAGGAGTAGGGAAGAAAATGTGCAACAATGAATAAAAATTTTTAAAAGTAAGATCTTTGGGATTCAAGGTTTTTGGAAAACTTTGCAGGGAGCTCTGGTGGTGCCGTGGGTTAAGTGCTGAACTGTTAGCTGGAAAGGTCAGTGGTTAGAGGCTGCAGTTGGAGTCCACAACACAGGTGACAGATGTGACTGTCTGCTTCTACAGAGATGACAGAGCCAGAACCTGCGGGCAATGCACAATCTTTGCTGTGCTTAACCCGTCATCACAGCCACTGCGCCAGTCTGTCTTACTGAGAGGCTTTCTCTTTTCCACTAGTCTTCTACTTCATTTGTTCACAGGGTCAGCTGGACAGCACACAACACCACAACTGCTTTACTAAACATGGCCTCTTTCTCTGACCCCTGTGAATATAACAAACTCTGTGAGATGAAGTCTTCTCACTTTTCCTTCTAAGGAACATTATGGCTGAACTTCTTCTAAGCCAGATTCATTTGTTCTTTTTCAACAGTTTTGCTGCACTGAGGTAATTTGGGTTTGCTGTGATGCTGAACCTTGTGCTACTGGCGTGTCAAATGCCATAATGGTTTCCCAATGTGGACCATGTTAGGTGAAGCTCCCAGCTGTAAAACAATTTTGGAAGCAGGAGTGGCATCCACTTCCTAAACCACAGGCCTATGGAAACTCTATGAGCTTGGATAAATGATGACAGTGATAGAAAGGCATTAGGTCTTTTGTTCATAGAGTCGCTACGAGGCGTACTCAACTCGATGGCAATCAACAACAACAACATGGTGCATATACTCAGTATTCTTCAACAAGACCACAAGTCAAAGCCTTCCTATGTCTTTGTCTGACTTTGATGTTCATATGAGGCATCTGAAAATCCTACGGCTTGGCTCAGGTGAAGGGGAGTCCTCAAAGTGACGTTCTTGGTCCTTAGCATTTTATAGACAGATTTGTTGCACCACAACAAGATAAAGGTAAATAATCCAGTTGAAAAAAATGGGCACAGGATATGAACAGACACTTCACCAAAGAAGACATTCAGATGGACAACAAACACATGAAGAAATGTTCAAAATCCCTAGGTCTAAGAGAGATGCAAATCAAAACAACTATGAGATATCATCTCACCCCAGTAAGAAAAACAAAATTCAACAAAGCAGCAAACAGCAAATGCTGGTGAGGTTGTGGAGAAACTGGAACCGCTATTCACTGTTGGTGGGAGTGTAAAATGGTGCAACCACTATGGAAGGCTGTATGGCACTTTCTCAAAAAGTTGCAAATAGAGATATCATTTGACCCAGCAATTCCACTACTGGGGATATACCCTAAATAAACTATATTCGCTACCCAAGGAGATATCTGCACACCCATGTTTATCACAGCTTTGTTCACAATAGCAAGAGTTGGAAACAACCCATGTGCCCATCAACAAATGAATGGATAGAGAAGCTGTGGTATAGTAACACAATGGAATACTATGCTGCATTGAAAAACAAGGAACTCATGAAATATTATACAAAATGGGTGACCCTGGAGGACACTATGCTGAGTGAAATATCTCAGTCATAAAAGGACAAATACTGCAAAGTGCCACTGTTGTAAAATAGGACTGACATTGGGGTTGGGGAGAGACTGAGAAAGATGGGGTAACTTATGTATACTGCATTGAAACAGATGAGGGAGAGAACTGTTTAAAGGGATATAGGATTAGGTATTATTTTCATGATAGGAACCCAGAGCAAAGGCTGCATAGTGGAGTGGACTTGGGAGGAGGGACTGTATAACAATGAAAAAAAATTTTCTTTTACTTTTCAAAGAGAAGAGTAAACTGGGGGGCGGGGTAGGAGGCATGGGCAGGGAGAAAAGTACAACAATGAATGAATGGAAATCCAAAGTCTCTAAGCTTTCTTTAAAATTAATAATAATAATAAAAACAAACAAACAAGACAGATTTGCTGCATCTAATCTACTCTGATAGTCACACACTGAATGCTGCAATGGACTAATCCTCTGACGTCAGTTCTCAGAGGCGTCAGAGGAGAACAAAGGGAAAAACACGGCGCTGGATTAACTTCAGGAGTGGAGGGACACAGCAGTACTTACACGGCTATGGTGATGAGGAACATATAGCATGACTTGAATATCAAGTAGCCGGCATAGCACACCCAGATGTTGGTGGTGTAATGCATGAGGAACAGGGAACCTGCGTTGGCCGCGGAGAAGGCCCCCAGCACCAGCTCTCCCAGGAGATTCCAGCTGATCTTCACGTAGCTGACGGCAAAGGCAGCCATGGCCGCTGAGAAGAAAGACAACATCGACTGCTATGGACAACGCCAACACGTCTAAAACCAGCAGTGTTCTCCACAATGGGGGCCGCCCAGTGTGTTAAACTGTGTATTAACTGTACTGTTCTTTATCCATGCTACTCTTCTTCCCAATTCCAGATGGATGTGTTAAGGCCTGGGTTTGAAAGAACAGATCTACAGACTTGCTTTTCAATATGATAAGGTTTGAAATAGAAGATGGTTATGGGGAAAATGAGAGATCACAAAATACAAGATGATTATATCGTTGCAGAGAGCATTCATTCCAGGTGGCTCAGTGGGAGGGAGCTGTATTGTCAACCCAAAGACACACAGTTCTAATCCGCCAGCTACAGGAGAAAGGTGGGCAATCTCCTCCCGTGTGATTTACCATCTCTGGAGACCCTCTGGAGGGTCAGCTATGAGTTGGTTGCTATTTGACAGCTACCAACAACAACTTATTATTACATAATTGCTAATTTATCAAACCATGGAGAATCAGACAGATGGCCCGGTCATGTTCACATATGTTCACCATCAATCAGCATTACTTTCAGACTCAACTTTGTAACTGTCAGACATATGTTGGTGCTGTGCAAAATAGTCCACCAGGATACTGTTTTACTGTGGTCATTATGAAAAATGTCAGATAATGAGATGGTAGCTAAAGGAGGACCAGGTTTGATTTGTAGTGTTTCTGAGATTAAAATTATGTAATTATGCACATTTGCATATACTACACATACTCAATGCATATACATAATTATAATACACAACAGGGCACTCTGGTGGCTTAGTGTTAAGGAGTTGTGTGTTGCCAACCCAAAGGCATACAGTTCAAATCCACCAGCTGCTCTGCAGGAGGCAGGCAGATGGGCAGTCTCCTCCAATGGAACTGACTGCCTTTGAAAACCCACTAGAGGGTCAGCTATGCGTCGGTTCTGACTTGATGGCACAAACTAGCAAACAACCTAACAGTAATTATTATGGTTCATGTCCAAAAAATGACAAGGGTATTTATGTCTCGAGTTCATGACATCTGATGAGTAACTTTTTAAAAATGTGAACTAGGAATGAACCATTGATAAGAAGAAATAATAGTTTTTCCACCAAAAATTGGAATGCAGGGAGTTTCAGTGAGCCCATTCCCAGTCGGTCCTGGACCAAGGAGTTAAATTGAAGCCTCTGAGAAAGGAAAGGAGACAGTAATAAAACCCAAACACGCTTTCTGAGACGTTTTATAAATGAGGGTGTGGAAAATTTCCACTTCCTAGAAAATATTTTCAAAGTCTCTTTTTACGTTTGCCAAGATAAAAATATTTATAATGGAGAACACACACTTCAAAGGCGGGTTTCCCCATGGCAGATTCTTGACTCTTAAAACTCATCCAACCCTTCCCCGCACCATTCATCTCCTAAGAAAGTTGTTGTTTTAGGGGAATTTTGGGTACACAGATTTGCATTGTTAAAGGAGGGAAACTCGGTACTCACTGCTGCAGAGCCGGAACAATGCAGCACTGGCCCTCTGGGAGATCGCTATCCCTGGAGTCAAACCTCCAGGGAGGCTTGGCCTTCGGGTTAACAGCGTGACTCCCTTCTGGTTCTACCACCATGGCTACCTAAGGCAGGGCGGAGGTACTAACAAAATCAAATCCTTTATTAACGAGGTTTTCCTAGCAAACAAGAAGGCTTCATCATTCAGTTCGTATTTAAATAATAATAACAAAAAAGAATCCCCAACACCTTATTTATATATGATTTTGTTGCTGTTATTAAGTAGTGTCACCTCAATTTGGACTCTTTCCATCCAACTTTCGCTGCATGGACAATGTTGGACCTTTTAGTGATGTGCAAATGGAATTTTGGAGGCTAGGCTAGAACTAACCATTCGGGGTCCTTAATCCCAAACCTTTGAGTAACTCCTTGTAACAATCACGTATTAAAGAGAATATTCTTATTTTTTTTTTCTAGTGTTTTCCACTCTGAAAATAGTTAATGTACTTTGTGAATACAGCCCATCTAGCACCATGACAAAGTTTAAAGCATTGTTGTAAGACACCACACTGACAAGTTACTGGCAATAGTCCATACTGCCTACGCTGATCAAGAGAATATATAGCAAGGCTTACTTACCTTCAAAGGTGGCAATAGCTTCTACTGCTCCGTTATAGATGGGAGAATTTGGGGACAAAGCCTTGTAATCCCACAGTATTTGAACATAGTTCAGAACCTGGTTATAACCTGCCGTGGAAAGAGCCCACCACAGAGACCAGTAAAAGAGTCGCCTGGAGGAGTAGCATTCCTTCAGGTCCTGGAACCACTGCACAAAGACTCTCAAAGCCACGTTTTCTGGCTTTGACCAACTCAACTGGCCATCATTCGGATTCCTGGCAAAGGTGGGTGTTTCTGGAGTGGGTTTCTCCTCTTCACAGCCCGGGGCATCACCCTGGTGAGAGGTGCCTAACATCGTGTTTCTGCCGGCTGCCTTCTCGGCTTCTTTTTTGGGTTTGGCATGGAAGAACATGCTCTTCTTGGGCATCGGAAGAAACAGCGACAGGAGGAAGGCTATGGAGACGTACACCATGGTTATGACGTTGAGGTGAAAGTAGGAGACGCCGGCCAGGGAGACGAGGACTTGGGCCAGCACGGAGGCTGCTGTGTAGGCCACCAGGGTGACGCTCCTGCAGTAGCCGCTCACTCTCTGATAGTGCTCCGGGCTCACCACGCTGTAGATGTAGGCGTAGTAGGCCACCTCGGTGGCGGTGACCATCCCGTAGAAGAACTCTACGACCTGCATCGTTCTCACCCCTTGGCCAAAGAGCAGCAGCAGCCAGGTGACGATGAAGCTGATGCCTTGTAAGACGATGACGGGCTTGTAGCGGACGTAATCGGTGAGGACGAACACGGGGAAGAGCAGCGCCAGGTAAGAGTAAGTCCACACAGGAAGGATCTCATTAGTGATCTGCAGGGGTGACAGACAGATCATGTGACCACGAAGCACCAGGAAATGACATGACTTAACAGTTAGGTTCATGTATCTTGCCCAGAAAAAAAAAAATTCTGCATCCAGTTGTTAATTCTTCATGTTGCAGAAAAGCATGAAACGTAGTCCAATCATCAACACAAACCCCAAGTAAATCCTAAACTAAAATCAAGACTCAAAACCCCAAACCAAATCCACAGATTTAAATGCATCCCATTAGCAAGGTGTACTGGGCTAATATTCAATCTGACCTATCTGAACTATCAAATCTAAATTGTGTCTACATGTGGGTAGGTTAGTTAAAAATCAAATTATTTTCAGGTTACTCAGGTTCTGTTAGAGTGGCTGCACACGTCAGAAGCAGCTTCATCTTCGCACACGTGAGAACAGCAGAACAAGTGACCCGGGAGCGTGGGAGAGTGGGAACAGGTATTGCATCTCATCTCCCTCCAGAAACATCTGTCTGGGCTTCCAATTCCTCTCCCGTCCATTCTTCTAGCCAGCTCTGCTCACTCATCTCTCGCTTCTCAGTTTCATAGGGTCAAGTGGGGGAGTTTGGTCAGAACCGTGTGGGTCGTTAGTTTCTGTCGATGGAAAGGACTGAAGACATGGTCGCTCTTTGGGGCACAGTGGCGGAGAGCGGAAGCCTCTGAAGTCACTGAGCCTCCACTGCTGGGGAAGCTGGTCTCACTGAGGCTGTTGTAAGGAGCCATGGTGGTGCAGTGATTAACGGCTCGTTTGAGAATCAAAAGGCTGGTGGCCCAGCTGCCTCTGTGAGGGAGAGAAGTGGCACCTTCTGGAAAGATGACAGCCTTGCAACTCTATTGGGCAGTTCCAGGGAGTGCAGTGGGCTTCCTGATAAGGAGCTGCACTGCCAACTCAAGAGAACATGGTTCGAATCCCTCAGCTGCTCTGTGGGAGAAAGATGGGCAATCTCTCCAATGCACTTTACTGCCTCTGAAAACTTCTGGAGGGTCAGCTGTGAGTCGGTTCCAACTTGACAGTATGTAACAACTGTCTAGGATTTCTCTGAGTCAGACTGACAGCTGTAGGCTGGAAGTTTGTTCTGGGAAGTTTTTACAGAAAGCGGAGGCTGAGAACCAAGCTCAGTGAGGCTGAGCTGCATCTATTGAGGGTAAGGCTAACTGGTCCACAGCAACAGGCTCGGCTCACTGGGTTGATTGTGAACCTGACCCATCCTTTGTGTAGTCTTAATTGCTCTAAATTTCAAGCCGGGAAACTCTGGAGCCAAGCTGTTCCTAAGAGTTGTAGACACCAGAACAGCGCAAGCTTGCCCTTGTGTCTCTGCCGCTTCCAACATTAACCTGCCTTCCAGAAGAAGCCACATTCTACCCAGCATCTTCAGTCCTTGCTGGAAAGTACACACTCAAGGCAGGGAATTCTCCAGCTGGTCAGGGCACGCTCTTGGTGCATTTGTTATAATAAAGAGAGGGAGACTTTTAGATAGAATATGGCCTTCTGGAAGGAGAGAAGGGCCTGCCCACGCCTTATCTGCAGGGAATAGATTTCCAAACGGAGGAAGAGAATTCCATTGAAGAAAAACTACAATTCTTTATCAGATTCTGCTTATAATACAGCAACACGAAAGTGTGTCAGGACTAAATCCTGTGCCTGACAAATGGTCTAGTAATATAGAATCCATATCATGAGAATCTCAACTGAAAACTGGACATGTTCTCAGCATATTTTCTGTATGTGAGGAAATAGTGGAAAAGTTGCAGTATGTGAGAAATAAGAAAATGAGACCCTTTGAAACCAATGTGTTAATCTTATTACCAGCTGAAGGAAATTTTTTTTTTAGTAGACAACAGTTTATTAGTTTCATTTTGTGAGCCAGCCATTGTGTTAGTGTCCCAAACCCAAACTGCCATGATATAATTCTACAAAGCAGGTTGCTTTTTTTTCCATTGTTGCACATTTTCATCCTCCCTTCCCACCTCCTCCCCAAACCCACCCCACAATGCACCCCTTGTTCCGTACTGTTGTCATGCAATGCCTTATCATATATTCCTCTTAGACAGTTCTTCCCCTCATCTGAACTAATGCAGTGTTCATTATCTATCCCCTCTTTCCCCATTCACTCCTCAAACCCCCACCCCCATGTCTGTCCTGTTTTATAACAGCAGCTCCTGACTGATCTGACTGGTACAGGAGATTGCCCCTCCTTCTCCAGCAGAGCATCACGTGGATTCGAACTGCGCACCTCTGGGATTGCAGTACAGCTTCTTGCCACTAGGCCACCAGCACTCGCCTGCTCTGTTGACATCTTAAGGAAACTGAAACCGCACAGCAATACACGTTAACTTACCTCTGCGCTTGTCAGGTTTTTGTGTGGCCCGGATAAATACGGGATGAGGAATGGTTCTGAGAGCCTCATCATGGAGAAAAATCCAAACAGGCAGAGAATAACTGTGGGATAAACCCAGGAACGACCCAGGGACGCTGGGGAACCGTCCATGGCTGACCAAATGGGAGAGAAAAAGAGCAAAAAATTGTTATTTATTCATTTTTGGCTCCTTGGAAAGAATGAAAAACCAAGTATTTATGACAATTTCATGGAAGGAGAAAATAGTATCTGCTAGTGGAAAGGAAACTGCTCTTCAAACGTCGTCCTCTAGTGAGTCAGTCAAATATATCCTTGTCACTGAACATGAACTTGTTAGTCACTGAACTTCTGATGGAACCACTTATTTCTGTTTTTCATCTACAGCGGTACCTGGTAGCTACCAACAAATGGTAAAAGGAGCCTAGGTGGTGTAATGATGACGTACCGAGTTACTATCCAAAAGGTGGGAAGTTCGAACCCCTACCCAGTCACTGCACAGGAGAACTGGTGATCTGCTCCTCTAGAATATTGTTGCTGTTGTGTACGGTCAAGTTGGAACAGTTCCACAGCTGACCCTCCAGCAGGTTTCAGAGGCAGTAAGTTACACGCGAGGAGACTGCCCAGCTTTCTTGCAGAACAGCTTCTGGCTTCGAACTGTGTACCCTTTGGGTTGGCCGTGCAACTCCTTACCACTAAGCTATCAGAGATTACTACCTAGGAAACCAGGCAGTTTTCCTTTATCCTACCATCCTTAACGTCCACCTTCCCCATTGCTTCCTTAATGAGGCAGAATTGACTTAACACATAGCAACATATGGTAGAAAGGCCCAGGGGTGGTGCTATGGGTAAGGACTTGGCAGTGAATAGAAATTCCTTGTTTGGACACACCAAGTCCATGGGACTCCACAGAAGAGAAGACCTGGTCAAGATTAAGACCCAAAGTCTACAACTGTGGCGTACATTCCATTTATAGCCTACAAAGCCTACGGGGCAATTAAACTGTCACATGAGGTCACTGTGAGGTGAAAACTAACTCAAAAAACACCTCATTCAACCAAACGCATTGCCACTGAGTCAGAAGCAACTCATAGCTGACCCTCCAGAAGGTTTTCAAACACCACAAATTGCACAGAAGGAGCCTGTCCATTTTTCTCCCTCAGACCAGCTGGCAGATTCAAACTGCCTCCCTTTGGGTTTGCAAAACAACTCCTTACCCCCTAGGCCATAGGAGCTCACTTAATTGTCGTTGCTGTTGTTATGTGGCCTGGCCTGGCCTGAGCCAGTCTCACTGACTCCAACACACCCACCCTCATTACCCCAGTTTCTGTGTCAATCCATCTCATCTGGGGTCTTCCTCTCCTGTGCTGTCCTTCCACACTTCCAAGCATGATGTCCTTCTCCGAGGACTAGTCCCTCCTGGCCATATGCACAAAAGTGTGTGAGGCTAAGCTTCAAAACCTTAGCCTCCAAAGAGAAACTTGGTTTCACTCTCTGCAAAACAGACCTTTCAGTGATCCATGGCATGTTCAAGACTCTTCTCCAGCACCACAACTCAAAGGCACTGACTCTTCTTTTGTCATCCTTAGTCACTGTCCAGCTCTCTGATGCACAGCAAGTAACTGCAAAGACTATGGTCTGGATCAGCCACAGCTTAGTCTCTAGATTTACATCATTACTCTGTAGCACTCTGAAGAGGTCCCTGACAGCAGAATTTCTCAGTGCAATTTGTTTTTTTACTTTCTGACTACTGGTGCCAAGAGTGTTGACTGTGGATCTGAGCAAGCTGAAATTGTTAACAACCTCAATCTCCTCTCTATCTATCACGGTGCTGCCAATTGGCCCAATGGTGAGAATCTCTGTCTTCTTGATGCTGAACTTCTATCCATATTGAAGTCCTTGACCTGCAGCAAACACTTCATGTCCTCCTCAGTTTCAGCAAGCAAGACTATGTCATCTGCATGATGCAGGTTGTTGATGAGTCTTCCTCTAATCCTGATGCCACATTCCTCCTCATAAAGTCCAGCCTCCTGAATGATCTGTTCTGCATACAGATTGAAATGAAATGGTATGGAGACAGGGCACATCCCTGATGCACTCCTTTCTTGATTTCATTCATGCAGTGTTTCCTTGATCTATTCTGACAACTGCTTCCTGGTGATAACATCAAAAGTGGCAATAATGTCTCTAGGTGCACTCAAAACACCTAGGGGCATCGATAAATGGTAAACAACGGGTCAATGAATTTTCTCCTAAATGTGCCTGAAAGTCAAACTGTGGCAAGATGGTTAACCTTTCTCAGTACAGTCTTCTAACTTACGTGAAATGACTGTGTGCAATGACCCGGATAAGCTGCCGTGGCCTTGAAAAGCTAGCTAATTAAGAAAATAAGGCACAGGACACAGTTGAGAAGGCCAGGCAAATAAATATGGCACATATAACTTTTAACAATGGGATTAGTCAATTTTGCCACCCTGGAGACTGGGAGAGATAGAAAGAGAATAGAAAGGGATTGAGAGAAAGAGAGAGAACACTAGAGACAATGGACCACAGTAAGGAGCAAAGACAGAGAGATGACAGCTGCAGAACCAGAGGACTACAGAGGGAGGTGACGTGGGCTTCCCTCTTCAAAGAGCAAGGCGGTTACAGCAGGCTTGCTAACCTACAGAGTCAGGGAGCTGAATTTCTTTGGGCAGGAGGCTTCCTGGTAGACCTGGGTGATGCTGAATACATCCTGGCGGAGCTGAAGAGCTCTGTAAACTTGCCCAATGAGGGCAGGAGTCAGCCTCAGGGCCTCAGGAGCTGAGACAAAGGCTTTCCTTCAAACATGATCTACTTGCTGCCCTGACTAAAGAACTAAATCCTGAGTTGTTCCTGTCCCTGAATTGCAGCATGAGTTGTGCTTGACTCAATGGCAATCAACAACAACAACAACAACTCCCTTAGTACAACCCAGAATTGTGCATATGGTCTGCGAATTCTCTGTGGCCACTGCACTGAATTACTGAACTCAGCAGAGAATTCGAGCAGAAGGAAGGATGACTGGAGTTAGAATTGGTAAAAATACTGGAGAGGAGGTTGACTTCTGCCTGACAGGGATTAGCTGTGGAGTTGACCTTGATTCTTTTTGCCCTTTTCCCCTCATAAGTTTTGATGAGGAAGTCTGATAGTACCTCCATCCCATTTTACAGTTGGTATCAAATTTTATCTCAGTTAAATTTAATCAGACATCAGAAAAGATGAAGCTGAGATGACTTTTGGAGAACTCAACCAAAGAGATACTTGCATCAGACTTTAAAGGCTTAGTAGTCTTACCCTGAAGACTCTTCATTCTACTAGAAGATTGTTAGTGACTATTCTGGGCTAATTGCAATACCATTAATATCACATGCAAGCAAACTACTGCTGCAGAACATTAAAAAATTATTAGAGCAGTACAGAAGACAAAGAACTTCCAGAAGCTCTAGCAGGATTTAGAAGAGGCCATGGCACCAGGGATATATATCACTGCTGATGTCAGACGGATCCTGGCTTTTGAAAGTAAAGAATATAAGAAGAATGTCTATTTATACTTTGTTGACTCTGCAAAGACATTTCACTGTGTGGATCATAATAAATTACGGCTAACACTGAGAAGAATGAGAATCCTAGAACATCTAATTGTGCTTATGTGAAACCTATACCTAGACCAAGAGAGCTCCGTGTGAACAGAGCAAGGGAACGCTACATGGTTTAAAATTAAGAAAGGCGTGCTTCAGGGTTGTTTCTTTTCTCTGTACCTATTCAATCTGTATGCTGAGCAAATTATTTATGAAGCTGGACTTTTTTGTTTTACTGCAAAAACAAATTTATTTGAAACACATCAACAGAAAAAAGGATGCCAAGTCTACATGGTAAAAGGCTTTATAAAAAAAGCAACAAGTGACCCTGGAGGACATTATGCTGTGTGAAGTACCTAAATCACAAAAGGACAAATATTGCATGGTGCCACTGTTGTAAAACAGGACTGACATTGGGGTTGGGGAGAGACTGAGAAAGATGGGTTAAACAATGTACACTGCATTGAAACAGATGAGGGAGAAAACTGTTTAAAATAGATATGTGATTAGGTATTTTTGTCATGACAGGAGTCCAGAGTGAAGGCTGCATAGTGGAGTGGACCTGGAGGAGGGTTTGTAAAACAATGAAATAATTTTTTTTTATTTTTCCAAGAGGGTAGTGTACGAGGGGGGAGGGTTGGGAGGGCAGAAAAGTGCAACAATGAATGAATGGAAACCCAAAGTCTCTGTAAATTTTCATTGAATAATAAATTAAAAACAAAACAAAACAAAAAAGCAACAAGTATACTCAGAAGTTATCATTATCCTTATTTCCTCCCTCAAATGTGTTTATTGTGACATGTTGAAAAAGTTAATGAAACATTAAGAATGCACTAAAATTTAGGCATCGTATTATACTAAGAGGGGGGAGCTGTTATTGTTGTTGACGCTGGACTCTTTGAAGAAGAATATGGCATCAAGATTGGGGGAGACTCATCACTAACCCTTGTTATGCAGATGACACAGCCTTTCATACTAAAAGCGAGAAGGACATGAAGTTCTAGCTGTAGAAGATCAAAGACTGTAGCCTTCAATATGGATTGCAGCTCAGAGCCAAGAAAAGAAAAATTCTCACCACTGGACCAACAGGCAAAAAGTCATGATCATGACCGATGGAGAAAACCTTGAGATGATCAACGGATTCCTCTTACTTGGACCCACAATCACACCCTTGATACCAGAAGTCAGGAGATCAGGAATGTATTATTATACTTTCCTTGGCTGGCTCTGGTTAAAGGAATTCGATTTCATTTTTCTAGAATCATATTTAATGATGTGGAACTCAGAACCCATGCAGATAGAAGTGTTTTCTCTCACCCACCACCCTTCGTGCCCTCCTGCTTTCTGCCACCTCCTGTTCCACAGGGAATCTTCAGTGAACTGAAGTGCTCCAGGCACCTTCATGTTGTTGGGTGTCATCCTGGAGCCGGCTTCATGTCAAAGGGACCCAATCCTGTGCCAGACTCACAATCTCTCCTGCGCTTAAAGCCAGGGTGTCAACCCATCTCTTCCAGGGTCTTCCTCTCTTTCACTGAC